TTTCCCTCTCCTACCTTCTTTCCCCAGTCTTTGCTTTGCTGCAGTGAAAGCGGGTTAGGGATGCCCTTTCTTTTCCAAGGGCAGCCTGCATACTGAACCCCTCATCCTAGCCCCACCCCACAGCATTGATTTAAATAAAGAAAAACAAAACTTATTTGAGTTAAGGAACCAAACAAAGTTGGGTAAATCTTCTAGTACTTAATGCAACAAATTTACCTTATAGAAGAGTAGGATGAAGTTGATGGCAAAAGCAACAAACAAAGCCAACATCCTCATGTTATAAAAATTGCGAGCAAAATAGTTCTGAAAAGAAAAAAGAAAAAATACAGTTTATCTGTATATCAACTATACATTTGAGAGAGTTTGCGTGTACACCTATCAGTCTGTCCATCCATCTGAGAATCTGTTTGTTCAATAACTCCTTCTAAATGGTAAGAGCTATGAGAACTAAATATAGTATTCAGCTCCCCCTTCTCCTAACTTAGAACATGGTAAGGGTTTGGTTGTGCCATGACAATGGGATGTGCCTGGAATATGAATGTTTCTCTTAAAACAGAAAGGGAGAGGTCTGCTGGCAGGGACAATTATACTGTAGAATGACCACAGGGAAGTGGGTGCACCAGTAAGAGAAAGGCTGGCTGAGGTGGGGCTCTGGATGCTGCTGGCCAGTGTAACCCTTGGCCACATGGGCAGTGTGGCTCCCACCACCCCTGCCACCCATCCAACCCCTGGGAGCTGCCAACCAAGCAGTGTAGCCCCTGCTTCCCCAACCCTGCCCTGAGCCCCTCACACACCCAGCCTTGTGTCTTGACTCCTGTACTTCTCTATTCTGCCCTGAGCCCCCATCCCCTGCCCTGATTTCTGCACATCCACTGCCTGCCTTGGGCCCATCCTCATCCCCAACCCTGACTCCTGCACCTCCCATGCCTCCAATCCCCTAGCCTAAACCCCTCTCCCTGCCCTGAGCCCCCTCCTTAAGAACTCTACAATGCCATGTCAATGTGCCAGTTATTTTACATACTTATTTAGTGAACTTTGGTGAACTCATAAAAATTACTTTTAAGAACCTTTTGTTATTAAAATTATTCAAAGTATCCAAATACAAAAAGCTTGTCGAGTTTTACTGTTAAGAACCATCACAAGAACACTTCTCCGAATCTCCTCCAAAAATTATTTGTATGTTTATCAAGCTTTTCAGACAGAGTAGGAGAAGGATAAAACCAAGTTGAATTTGGAACCAAATATTAGACCTTGAGAGGAATGAAAAGTTTAGATAATTCAGTCTTATGATTATTTTTCATGTTTTATGCCTCTGCACTTTCTAGTTCCAATTGTAATAGGACCAAAAGTGGAAATATGGGAAATCTCATAGAAATCTTGATCCCATAAGGTCTATAGCCCAAAAGGGGTTGAATAATTCAGGCCAGTATCAGATGTGTATCTAAACTTGAATCCTAACCAAATCTTTTGGATCTTTCACTAGGCCTTTTGCCTTTTAGCTACTGAGTAAAGCCTCTGCTAGAGCCTTAGCCTGAGACACAAATGCGAGAGAAGACACTGCCATGCCTTGGAACTCACCATCTTTTGCTCTAAATTTTGAGATCTCTCCACTCCAATTTTCCCCTTCATAGATTCCAAAGCCAGAAGAGACAAGTGTGATTATCTGGTCTGACCTGTTGCACAATATTGACCATAGAGCCTCCTCCAAATATTTCTCTTTGAACATCAGTATATCTTCTTTTTTAAAAAATCCATCTTGATTTAGAAATTGCCAGTGATGGAGAGTCCACAACAATGCTTGTTAACTTGCTCCAAGGGTTAATTTCACTCCATGGACAGAATGCAGTTATGAATATTTGTGGCAAGTTGTTTTCAAGAATGCATATAAACTGACCCCTAAAAATGCAAGATACACGTGCATCCCTTCCAGCCACAAAACCACACATTTGCCTTCACAAACTGGTTAACTGCAAGTTCAAATATCACTTTGTGCAAAAGAAAAAAAAAGCATGTGTTTGTGGTTGTGAAGAGTGTACATGCATATGTAAAGGCACACATTACCCCCATATTTGAAAATGACCCTCAATGTTTTTTTTATGACATTTTTGCCTAGCACATTGATTTTTTCCACTGTCTTTTTTTTTTTTTTTTTTGCCTTTTGGGAAAGTGGGCTGAGGGCAGAAATGATATGTCTACACTGCCACCCTCGTTCAAACTAGCGTGGCTAATGTAGTCATTCGAACTTGTAAATGAAGCCCGGGATTTAAATATCCCGGGCTTCATTTGCATGTTCCCGGGCGCCGCCATTTCTAAATGCCTGGTAGTTCGAACTACCTGCCCGCGGCTATATGCAGCATGGGCTAAGTAGTTCGAATTAAAGCTCCTAATTCGAACTACCGTTACTCCTCCTGCAATATTTAAATCCCAGGCTTCATTTGCAAGTTCGAATGACTACATTAGCCACGCTAGTTTGAACTAGGGTGGCAGTGTAGAAGGTCACTACAGTTTTTGCTGATTCAAAGACATTTTCTCCAGGCTTTTGTAACAAGTTCCAGATACATATGCTTGGCTAACATGCAAGTACTCAGCCCAATGTGGATAACGTCTTACAAGAAGTTTCTGCTGGTATGCTATGATTTTCTTCCAGAAGGCTGATTCTTGGACTTCTGGTTCTCCATATCTGTGTGCATGAAGCTGTCTCAGCTTCTGTTTCCCTTTGTCTTCTTTGGCTTTCTCTTCCTTTTCTCCATCTTCTCCCCTAAGGAAACAAATGAACTCATAATCTATGCTGAGTCACTGAAGATGACCTAGAGTTAGACTGTCAGTTTCCCCACTCCCTTCAACCCCTGGATGTTTACAGTCCCACTCCATTAAGGGGGAAATCCCATTCACTCATGAAGTCACTGTAGCCATGATTCGTGCAAGGAAGAGATGTGAAATGAAGAGGAATTCTCCCTCTCAGTCCACAAAGAAATGGCAAAAATGTTCTGTGGATGATGCTGCAGCCACTGCACTGCACCCTCTCTTATATGAGGAAATTTGGCTGGTGAATCCAGGTAGTTATGGATTGACCAGCTCCACACTTCCTTACCCACCCATCCCCACGCTCCACTCCATACAGGCAGAACTAAGCTCTGTAATGCACTTCTGTAATGTACTTGGTTATCTTCCAGCCTCATAACTATGACATATCAGCTGTGGTGAGAGCTTCAGGATGCAGAGAAAGTGGCAGAATTTGTCCATAACAGGAAGTAGTTGACTGAAAACTTCCAATATATTTATGTTTTGAAACAGAACAGCTGAAAAAGCATTCTCTCCCCCATTTACAAAGTCTTGAGTTCAGGAGTCTGCATTTCCCTGCAAAGTGGAGGACACCGCAACCACTTCTGAAAATGGAGGAAGGAACAAGCATTCACTCTTGCAATTTCAGGTATTTATGAATTATCAGACATACTAAAGAAAAGGAATCCTGAACTATGGGATGTAGTTTCACTCTATTCTATCTGTTAAAACCAAACACTGTATTTTGTATTTAATTACATTTGATTTTTAGCTTAGTACTTATTTCTATTACTAGGGTTGCCAAGTGTCCAGTTTTGAACTGGACAGACCAGTATTTGAGCTTTCTGTTCGGGAAACAAATTGAGAAAATATAAATGTCTGGTATTTCCTAAATAAGATGTAATGTAGATTGTGATGTAATGTCAAGTGTGTCCAGCATTTTTGTTGAAACCATATGAGACCTAAAACAGTGTTGCATTAGGGGAAAGAAAAAAAAAGAGAAAGGCCGAGTTGCATATTTGATAAAAATGACATTCAAGTTTGTCCTATATAAAAGAAAGAGCACTGAACCAATTTAGGGCCTGATTCTGTAGTGAGCGATCCATGGAATTTTGCTAAAGCCAAAAGAGTATTGGACTTACAAGGTTTGTGAAATCAAAACCATCCTAGATTTGCATAACTAGCAGTGAACCTGTAGCCAAAGACTTACTATAGAATTGTTCTCTGGAATATATATATATATGTATGTGTGAGACAGAGAAGACAAACACACACACACACATACACACACTGTGATAGGGCATTGCTTTTAAGCATTGTGTTTTACAAGAAAACTTTAGACATATGCAGTAAATAGTGCTGGTCAAACATTTTCAGATGGAACCTTTTCTCCCACTGGAAAATTCTGATTAGATGGAATCAACATATGCTGCAATGGGAGCATTTTCATTTTGTTAAAACTTTTGAAGCAGGTTGGTTAGCCTGCATGGCTTCCTGCCAGCCTCTCTACCTGCTGGCTGGAAGATAGGCAGGCAGACTGCCTAGCTCCTCAGGCTCCCATAATATCTGGCTGCCTGCCTGGTGATGGCTCAGCTCCCTTGACTGCCCATCTCCCTAAACTACCCAGCTAGTTAGCTCCCTCGGGTACCCATCTGGCAGCTAGGCAAGAGGGTTGCCTGACTCCATAATTTACATCCAACAGAATTTTTTCATTTTCAACTTTTCATTCCAAGCCAAATGGAAGAACATTTGGAAATGTGATTTTTTTTCATGAGACAGAAATTTTGTTTCCAACACAGTTCTAGAGCTGAATGTAAATCAAAACATTTTCTTCCTTAGTCAGCAGACAGCCTGGACCAATAGTTCCAAGTGATATTAAGAATCTGCTGAAGTAGCCTAGCCCTGGTCTGGACACATGGGTTTGTCTAGACTACGACGAACTTCCGAGAGAGGATATTTGCATATCTGTGGAATTTGCATATCTTCTCCGGATCTCACTTTTGAAAGCAGAGCTTTATAAAGTGAAAGTAGTCGGGACGCAGGGTAGTTTCGGCAACCTCCCCCTTTTTTTGAAAAGCCGCGTAAACCTCTTTTTGAGGAAGAGCAGCTTTTTGATAAAGGGGGGGGAGGGACTTGCTGAAAAAACTACGTCCTGACTACTTTCACTTTTGAAAGCTCCGCTTTTGAAAGTGAGATCCGAAGAAGATATTCCCGCGGAATTTACATATCCTCTTTCAGAACTTCAGCGTAGTATAGATGAGCCCTATATAGTGGAAGTAACACTTTTAACTCTCATGGGCAAGGGAAGGAGGTAGCATGAGGCAGTGAGTATACTCTACCATCAAAAGACTTATAGAGCAGCATGATAGAGTGAGGGCTGATTGCTATCCAAGGTATTATGTAAATACAGTGATTATAGCTGGAAAGGGGACTAAAAAGGATGGAGTAGAATAAAGGGTGTCATAAGACCATAATGATGTCAGTTTTATGCTGGGCTCCTTTGTCAGCAAGGTTCATGTAGGAAGGGAACCTACATTCAGACATTTAAGAGGTCTCTATGACACAGAAATGAAGGAGTGAGGGAAAACTGACTTTTCAGAAAATCAAACAACAGTTCTTAAGAGCAAGGTCCAGGGTTATACATACTCTGCTTTTTCAGGTTCAGATTTTGTTTCTCCTTTCTCATCCTTTTCATCTTCATTTACTTTCTGCTCCTTGAATGAGTCAGAAAAAAAGTCAGAGTTTAAGGCGAAAAGGGACCTATTTGATCAGCAGATCTGAGCCCTTCTCTATATCCCAGGATACCAACACCACCTATCACCTGCACACTAAACTCAAAATCAAAATGAGACCAAAGTATTACAACCTACAGGTGAAACAGACAGAGAATTGGAGGGGCTGAAATTTACCAGTGATCTAGGCCCTGCAATGGCAGGGAAATGATTAAGCAATACACAGATAATCCTGGTAAGTGACCCACATTTTGAAGAGGAAGGTGAAAAGTCTGCAAGGTCACTGCCAATATGACTTAGTTCCTAATTCCTTCCCAAGCACATGTATGGTAATCAGTGAGGCCCTCCCTGATCACGTCTGAGCAAGAATCAACCAGATAAGCAGAAAGAAAGACAATACTGAGTGCCCTCCGCATTTGATATCCCATCTCCAGGTGTGGCCAACACTGATACTTTAGAGACAGAAGATTAAAAAACAAAACAACAACAAAAACAACCCTACTAGAACAAGTTGACCCCAGAAGATATCTGGATGAAACCCTGATGCATGAATTTAAGGTACATAAGACAAACCAGATGCGAGTTCCAGGGTTGCGGAGCTCTGCCCCCTACCAAACAAGCAACCCCATCTACAAAATCTAAGTAGTAATATAGGTTATGCAGCCCTCAAAAATATGGCTAAAATTCAACAGTCATAGTGCTGAACATCAAGGCATTTTTATTAACCAATGCTGCAATGAAGGAAAATGATATTTCCCTTTACATTTACAAAAGACACACTGAATTTTTAATTTAAAAGCAAACCACATAACTTGGGCAACTCGGAGGACCTTCAAGCTTGTGTTCCCAAAAAACCTACAGTTTGGTAATTCATGATTATTCTTTAAAAAGCATGCCACGTATTTAAGAAAAAGCCTAAAATCACACAAACACAGCTATTTTTACTTCTGACCAAACATAACAGACTGAAGCATGATGAATAAAATATATTATTTGTTACCTGAATTTTTTCTTGCATCTCAGGTAATGGGAGTAAAGAAGGTGTGCTCAACAAATCACTCAGACCAGCATTTGGATTATGAGGAATCAGCTTATACTGGCCTCCTTCTCTCTTTAAATCCAAGCCAAATATGTCTGACAGTAGGTCACCCTCATCTGATAAAACTGTTAGATCAGTCAAATCTTCTGCAGGCAATGCAGCGTCTGTGGATTTCCTCTCTCCCTCTTCCCCATCGCCACGTACCTCATCCTGAGTGGGATCTGGCATATTGGCTAAAAGTTCAGCTACCTTGATCTTCTTAGCCCCTTCTACTAGGCTTCCTCCGAGTAGCAAACTGTACATGATGCGAAAGAAGCCCCGGAAAACACTGCATGTGAAATGCAGTAAGCCCATCAAGATGCTCCAGTAGGAAGAAAATAAAGCCATGAACATGTCCTTCATGGTCATTTTCTTCATTTTCTTCATCTGCTTCTTTAGGCTTTTCATGCTAAGCATTTTCATAAGAGTCATTATATTATACTTGAGGGCCACCAAGGCTGACTTGACAGTCACAAGGGAGAAGAAGCCCGTTCTAGTGTCTTGTTCCTCTGGCTTATCTTTTTCATTCTCTTCTTTATTTGATGACCTTTCGTTCAAATCTGACTCGGAGATCTGGGCAGCCAGCTGCATTTCAAAAATGGTATCCTCACAGAAATTAACAAAAAGTTCCATCTTTTCCTTCTCTCCTCCTTCATTTACTACATCAAAGATAAACTGCCTCTTAGACTCTTTAACCTGAGGTTTCTCCCACTGAGTTCGACTTGACTCACTTATTTCAAAGTAAACTCTCTCAATGCGCTTTGCACTGCCCATGATTTCTATGCGTCCAAGGAAGGGCTGAAAATAATTCAGAACACTCTCTGCAAGCTCAAGGAAAGTTTGCAACCGGGTATCATGGCGCATGTGCTCTGATAGGTTGGTCAGAAGAACAGCAACATTGAAACCAATGTCTTTGGCAGGTTCATGGAAACGTTTCACAAATTCCTCATAATCCAGAGTCTCATTCTCATCTGTCTCAGCACAAGAAAGTAGAAACTCGGTTTCTGACTGAGTGTAGTGCTTATGGCTTTCCATTGCCTTCTGAAAGTCCCTCTTTGAAATTATACCCTTACCATCAGGGTCATATTCTTTGAATGCATCAGACGAAGTTAAATCCTTCAACTTCAGGAACATATCAAAAAACTTCAGAATCATCTCCACGTTGTTGGAAGACTCCACTAGCATGTCAACCATCTGTTTGCCAATAGTTCCATTCACAACATTACCTAATGGTGGGGACATGCAATAACAGTAATTGGTGACAATTAACGTTTTGGCAAATAACAACAGTTTAATAATGACTACTGAAATCATCACATGGTAAGATTTATAAATTACGTACTGATTTGGCTGCATACAAGGCTTCAGTTTATAACTATACCGGTTATCATTTAAAAATACTATACCAAATCAAGATCTATGAGGAAAGATTGAAAAAACTGGGGTTGTTTAGTCTGGAGAAGTAAAGACTGACAGTTTTCAAGTACATAAAAGGTTATAATAAGGAGGAAGGTGAAAAATTGTCCTTGCTAGCCTCTGAACATAAGACAAGAAGCAATGATCTTAAATCACAGCAAGGGAGGTTTAGGTTGGACATTAGTGACAGATAGCAGAATAAGGAGTAATGGTCTTAAGTTACAATAGGGGAGGTCTAGGTTGGATATTAGGAAAAACTATTTCATTAGGAAGGTGGTGAAGCACTGGAATGGGTTACCTAGGGAGGTGGTAGAATCTCCATCCCTAGAGGTTTTTAAGTCCCGGCTTGACAAAGCCCTGGCTGGCATGATTTAGTTGGGGTTGGTGAGGCAGTTAAGCACTGGAACAAATTGCCTAAGGAGGCTGTGGAATACACATCACTGGAGGTTTTTAAGAGCAGGTTAGTTAAACACCTCTCAGGAATTGTCTAGTAATTACTTAGTCCTGCCTTGAATGCAGGGGATTGGATTAAATGACCTCTTGAGATCCTTTCCAGTCCTACATTTCTATGATTCTATAGAGATGCAACAGAAGTAGTAATAATAAGCACTGTTTTTGAAAGAAGGCTATAAATGGTAGGATGTATACATCTAAGATTTCTTTCACATTTAATACAGTGCTGAATGGGAGATGGAATTTAGAAGTGACATCAAGACTTTTCTTGCCAGTCCTCTGAGGAGCTTAGATATGTTGTGAAGAGGAGGCTTTCTAATTCTGGGGGAGAAAATAGGTATCTTTGGGTCCATCTTTGTTTATTAAGTGCCTAGTATGAAGGAGCCTTGGTCCTTGACTAAAGGTCCCAATTCCACCACAAATTCATAAATAATAATCTAAGTTTACAATTGCCCCATGCTACTGAGTGAAGATGAGGCACAATGACAGCTGTTGCAAATGTTGAACAGGACATTCCCCCAAAACCATGGTAGACCTAGCCAGGTGAATTCAAAGCCCCTTTATTTCATGGTTAAGGTGATTGTCAATACCAAAAAGTGTGGTTGAATGCCATACATGAAAGTTGTTTAGCCTAACACACAGTAAATTTAAACAAAAAACTGATAAGTAGGGAAATGGATGATGCCAAGATGGAAGAGATTGCAAGTACTTTGGAGGATTATAATTCAAAATGATCTGGACAAACTTCAGAAATGGTCTGAGTTAAATAGGATGAAATTCAAAGAAACAAATGCAATGTACTCCACTTAGGAAGGAACAATCAATTGCACACATACAAAATGGGAAGGAAGTAGTTCTGCAGAAAGGGATCTAGGGATCTTAGTGGACCACAAGCTAAATAGGAGTCAACAGTGCAACACTATTAGAAAAAAAAAAAGCAAACGTCATTTTGGGATGTATTAAGTGTTGTAAGTGAGAAACAAAAAGTAATTCAACCACCCTATTCTGTGCTGGTTAGGTCTCAATAGGAGTATTGTGTTGAGTTTCGGGTGCCACATTTCAGAAAAGACATGGACAAATTGGAGAAGGCCCAGAGAAGAGCTATAAAAATGATCTAAGGTCTAGAAAACATGACCTGTGAGGGACGATTAACATACCTGATTTTGTTTAGTCTGGAAAAGAGAAGATTGAGAGGGACATGATAACAGCTTTCAAGTATCTAAAAGGTTGTTACAAGATGGAATGAAAAAAAAGTGTTCTCCCTAACCTCTGAGGATAGGACAAGAAGCAATGGGCTTAAATTGCAGCAAGGAAGATTTAGGCTGGACATTAGGAAAAAAAACTGTCAGGGTGGTTCATCACTGTAATAAATTGCCTAGGAAAGTTGTGGAATCTTCGTCATTGGAGATTTTTAAGAGCTGATTAGACAAACACCTGTCAGAGATTGGGGTGGGAAATAATTTTTTTAGGGGAGCCACTTCACGAATTTTGGCAGTGGTCATGATCCGCCTCCAAAGGGGCAGGGCCTCAGGTGGAAAGGGGCTGTTCCCCCTAGGATGGCCAGCCCCTGACGTGGGGGGGGGAGGAGACTTTGCACACTCCCCCACCCCAAGGCACTGATTGGCCTGGGGATGGAGGAGCATGAAAAGTCTCTTCCCCCACCCTTATAGGGGCCCACGGTGCCTAGAGGGAACTGCCAGCTGTTTTGAACAGTTGGCGGTTACCTCTAGGCCAGGGTTTCCCAACCTATGGGTCAGGAACCAAATAAGGGTCGCCATTACATTTCAAAAGGGTCGCCAAGATCGTGTGGGTAGCAGTGTGGACAGGCGGCCATGAGCTGATGAAACAGCTTGGTGGGTTGGATCCAGCCCACAGATCCTATCTTGCCCACCCCTGTCAAAGATCATGGTCCTGCCATGAGTGCAGGGGACTAGAATTGATGACCTCTTAAGGTTCTTTCCAGTTCTATGATTGCTTCTGTAGCAAGAACCTTGGATGCTAGTGTTACCAGCAAATAGCATCTAATCTGAACCAAAAGAGAAGCCAATTATATATAAATAAGTATATCTTTGTAATAATTCAAACTGAGCTGGCCTGTGTAGATTGAACAGTGATTTAATTAATTCTTACATTATCACTGAGCATGTAAATTATAGTTGTAATAATTCCCATGAGCCAGTAAAGGTCAACAGCTCTTCCAATAGTAAACAAATTAACTTTAAGGTACTAAAAAAAGAAGAGACATTGGTTTTTGCTGTGAAAAAGTTGTGCAGAGAAAAAAACATGGTTATACTACGTGTAAAATACACTTTTAAAATAAATTAACATTACCTTCCAGCATAGACAGCAACATGACCACCATATCCTTCTGAAGATCCATTAACTCTTTTAGTAATTCAATTTGACTAGAATCCTGCAAACACGAATATGACTGTAAATAAGACTATTTGGCGTCACTATTTCTACCAAATTCAACCCAGCTTCTGATCTTGCATGACCATATTTTGCACTAAAATGAATGTGCGTTGGTAAAACAGGATTTTACACATATAACTGCCAACCTGCAGTAGTGTTTGCATGTGCACATGTAGGTTTCGTTTAGGGAAAGTCAAGCTGAGAAGCTGAGAGACCATTAATCTATTTAGCCCTTTATGTCAGAGCTGAAAATAAAATGAAAAAACATTTATCCAACTACATTCTCTTATGCAGTAGCAATACACACATTCACACCCACACTACTTATTGTTTAGAAGAAATAGCAATTTAATACAGTCATAGCCATGCTGTCTCTAACCACCAGAACTCATTTATTTCCTGAGCCAGGAATAGAACCCAAGAATCACAAATCCCAACATTACCCTACTATCGAGTAAAAAATTGGAAAAGTGCGTTTCGAGTCCTTTCTAGCAGCTGATCAACAAACAGGAGGAGAAGTCATTACTGCTGTCAATCTTTTAGCTCAAGTGGTAGAGGTCTGTGCCCATAGATTCAAAGACACTAAATTAAACTCTGCCGATAACTCATGCTGAAGGTCAATATGGTTCCATATGATAGAATATCTGAACATGGTGGGTTTTTACATTCTGTGATAAGATGAACAAACAAAATTTAAGAAGTGCTATGCCCATGCAAATTTAATTCTGTCCCCATATGAGGTTTTATGATATAACATGTTCACTTTTTTTAACCATAGGACTCCTGCCTCATTCAGTGGAAAGGATGAATAGTGAATAAAGCAGACACTTAATAAGAGAAAAGGGTGTCTTCTCATACTGAAAGCACTGTGCTAGGACCCAAGAGGGTTTTACTTCTGGTTTTGCCACAGATTTTCCACATGTTGTTGAACAAGAATTACAGGTTTATTCTTAAAATAAGTATATTTTTGTAATCATGACAATATATGTAAGCTATTTGTACTCCTCCATTCATGTGTGAGTCCTCTTTATCATTCAGGAAAGACTACATTCACTACAATGCCACCTGCTGTGAGAACATGTTGCTTCATGAAGAAAAAGAATGTTATAGCATTAAAATGATCGGCATTGTTATAGCATTAAAACTAAGAAATCAACTTTCACTCAACGCTAAATCCCCAATTTTCATCTCTGTGGCATACTCAAAGACTGGATTCCTGAATCATATTAGAATCTAAAATAATAATAAAAATAGCCACAATCTGAGTCTTCAGAGCTCCATTATGTTAAATATCATGAAGTAACAACAGAGATTAAAATAATAGCAACAACAAAACCACAACACAGTTTTATAGCACGTTTAATCTGAGTATATTAAATTATTTTTCAAATATTTCACTATACCCACATAGACAGGAAAGAAAGTAAATAGAACTCTGCTTTACAGATGGGGAAATTGAGGCACAGAATGTTTGATGAGCCCAAAGTTCCAGAAGAAGGTGTTGTCAGATAAAAGGGTTGGATCATAGGATTTTTTATGCCATTCTATAACCACTGGGCCAAATTTCTCACACACTAGTTCATAATAAAAAAGAATTGAGACAGAATGTATCCCCTTACCTCTTTATTCTGGTCATCCCCTCTCTTAATACAGAAATAATTTTCTCCCTCAACAATTCAGCTTATCTATTGTGAAGTTAATAACTAAAACGTAAGAAAAAAAGTGCATGATACCTGAGATAGTTTCATCTGCATGTGGGCAAATACATGAAGAAAACCAACCACTGCATCCCACAGCCTGCTGTGTGCCAGACTCTGCTGATTCCCTGTACATGGACCCTACCATGCAGATGACAAGAAACAGAGAACATGGCTTATATGCAAGAGAATTATATCAAGCATTAGGATAAAATTATATTTAGCATTAGGATAAAATTTTGGAGACCCAAAAATAGAACTAAATATTCACTGTACAGTACCAGTTTGCACCTTAAAACTGAATTCTCCTGAGGGGTACAGATGTTTAGGCAGATTCTTGTCTACTTAAACAAGTGTAAAATCAGGAGTAAGTATGATGAGTCTGAGGTAAAAATGGTTTAAGAAAGAGATGAATCAGGTCCCTTATATTTTGTTCGTCAAGTTTCACCTGTTGTAAAACACTGCCTGGTGTTAAAATGATATAATAGTGTTTTTATAAAAATGAGTTGACATTTCAAAGAATAATGAATAAGATCATTATTAGTACCATGAACAGAGTAGCTTGGGTGTAGTGGGCCAAATCTGTCACAGCTGTGTGGATATATTTGCATATCATCATCCTCTGTTAATACTTATTCAGCCAATCCACGCCTATGAACACTAAAATAATACAGATTTCCATAATGAAAAAGATTTGAATGTGAATTAAAAAGTAGAGTCTGTAAATAAATCCTTCCCAAGGGAAATTAGAATGATTAGGAGGCTGAATCTTCACTCATATCGGTTTCATAAACCCATAAGTTAATTTACATTCAGTGTAGTTATTCTGGACTTCACTATTTAGTGTGATCAGAACTTGGCCCTATTTTTTAAACATTCATTATTGGGATAATTTCTTAAAAATAGCTATCAGATAAAATTATTTTTGGCTTATCAAAATTATCCTTTGGATGATTAACATAATTGCTATTCAGAGTAGTTTTAAATTATCCCCTTACAGTTGAACCTCAACTGCCCAAATGAAAATATTGTGTAATAAGGAGAAAAGGACTCAGATTTTTTTTAAATCATTTTATACTGCCAAAAGCAGCATTTCTCATTTGATTATTTTACATGGAAAGGGGCTAGTATGTTGTTGCATGCCAATATGTGAAATTTTCTAAGAAATGCATGAATTTCGTGGGACCTCAATCTGCCGGTAGAGTGCCATCTTATGGGGAAAGATGTTCTATACATTCATAGATGATCTCATATAGCATGAATGATAGTAACCCATGTTAAGGCTGCTCAAAACGTCTCAGTAATGTTCATCACACCTTATTTAAAGAGAATGAAAAAGGATACATTAAAATTAAACATAGGAGAATCTGATTGCCATTTTTCTTTAAAAGTTCTTGCTGGTTACATATAAAAGAAGCACTACATTATTTAATGTTATGAAAGTTACAGAGTCAAATGTTAGGAAACACCAGACTCCATGTTTTCCCCTAAGACCAAACTTCCAAGAGGAGTAGTGTTGACAAAAAACCTAACCATCTTCAAGACTGATCTTGATAAGTTTATGGAGGGGATGGTACAATGAGACTGCCCACAGTAGCATGTAGCTGATGATCGGCAACTGCTAGTAGCAATGGCAGGTAATGGGGTACTAGATGGGAAGAGCTCTTTGTTACTACAGACTATTCTTTCCCAAGTGTCTGTCTGCTGGGTCTTGCCCACATGTGCAGGTTCTAACTGATAGCCATATTTACATTTGGGAAGGAATAGTCCCCCTTGACAGATTGGCAGAGACACTTGTTTTTGGGGTTTTGTTTTGTTTTTTCCTTCCTCTAAAGCATTCTCTATAACTTGAAGTGTTTAAATAAAAATTTAAGAAATTCAGAACTCAGCCAGAGATTATGGGTCTGTTACAGGAATGGGTGGATGAGGTTCTGTTGCCTTCAATATATGAGGTCAGACTGCATGATCATGATGGTCCCTTCTGCCTTAAAGTCCGTGAGTCTATAAGACTCCTTGCCTAATCAATGCACAGAATAAATGGTTCTCACGAAATGAGTAAGCTATTCTTTTTTTTCTCATCTTCCAATAGTTCAGACTCTTTACTACGTTCCTCCCAAGTTCTTTATTCATTACAGAATTATTAGTATAACATCCTGCCAGTAGTTTCTTCTTGTTTATTGCATAAGGAGGTCCAGGTCAAGCATGTCTCTGCAGATCTGAAAAATGGCAGTATGACAGGGAAGGGTGTTTTGTTAAGCCACATATTCAGAGATTTGTAGGTCAACACCAGCACCTTATGCTCCATCCAGAAACTGACAAGAAGTCAGAACACTGCCTGAATATGCCAAATGATCTTCTGCTTACTAAGCACACTGTCATATTCTAAATATGTTTTATTGTTCAGATAAAGGCAAAGGACACATTAGGATGCATTGTGGTAATGCAGTCTTGAGGAGCAGAAACATACATCATAGGGCAAGATTCCTGTTGAAAAGAAAAGGACACAACCTACTGGGCACTGGGAAAGAAGAAGACTTGGTTTACAAAAGAAATAATAATTCAATGACAGCTGGGAATCTGCTAGACTTCTAGGCTGTAAAAACACCGACAAATGGCTACTACCCATTTCAAAACATCATTTCTTACTAATTTAATTTATTTTTTTCTTTTAAATTCCATATGCATGGCAATGAAACTAGTTTACCTGAATATACTCAGTGAGAGTATTGAAGACCTGTTTTGCAACTTGAATTGCTTTGGAGAAATTACGTTGTCCTTGCTCATCAATAACATCTTTCCCAGAATAATACCAGTAGAAATCACTAATTGATTCCTATCAAACAGATATAAGAAAGAGTACTTACAAATCACATATTCAAACTGCCATTCCTGGATTTGTCAACATTTTCATAAAGCAGACTTTAAAAATAAACTTAGCTATGAACAAAAATCATTAATTTATTTGGATTTAAAATAATCTCAGGGATTTTAGGTATCATCAACATAATGTATTTTCTCATGTCCAGTGAAAACCCACAGGGAAAAACAAAACAAAAGCCAAAAAAAACCCAACCCCATTACAAAACCTAACTTTTAGCAAGATTAACTGGGCTTTTTATTTCAAGCTTCACATACACATGAGTTATGCATGAGAACACAGAGCTGTAAGCTGTTCATGAGAACTATGTGTTTTTATACAGTCTGCCTGTCACCTAGCGAAATCCAGGAACCGAATATTCTTTGTGCACAGAGTTCTTCTTTCCATATCCCTTAAAGAATGCCAGTACAAATTTCATCCAAAAGAGCTACACAATATAAAAAGATTTGTTGTCATTATTACCACCAAACCCCTAAAGAACTTGCAAGGTGTCACAGTAATTGACAACTAAAAAGAGGATTCATTTTCCACATATTGAAATTTTGAGAAATAAATAAAAATGCTAAAAGGAAGATTTAATTGTCTAAATAAACATAGTGAAGTGTGCAGTGTTGTGAATTTTTAGACAGATGAGATATATAGGTAAAAATATGAACATGTTTACTGCAATGCGTCTTTTAGGTGCTTCATGAGTTTGGTTCTGAAAAAGAATTAGAAAATCTTCCTTACCTGTTGATGGTCTCTGACAATGTGACGCTTTCCCAGAGAAATGGGATTTTGACTTTATCTCTTTAAAAAAATCTAAATAGCACAAATTTTACAGAGGACCAGTTTGGACAGGCAGCCCAGATCTGTCTGAAGATGTTAGTACTTAGGAAACTCCAAATAGTACTGAACACTGCAGCATATCTCCTCAGCAACAGGCTATGATGAATACATGAAACCTGACTTCCACACTCTATACTGGCTCCTGATAGAACACCAAGTAAAGTTCAAGGTCTTGATCCCTACATTAATGGCACTCTATGTCTAGACTACATGGCTCCGTCGACAGAGCCATGTAGATTAGTTTTCTAGACATAGGAAAATGAAGCGGCAATTTAAATAATCGCCGCTTCATTTACATCAAAATGGCTGCCGCGCTGTGCCGATCAGCTGTTTGGTAGTACAGCGCAGTATTCTGGATGCTCTGCGTTTGACAAGGGAAGCCCTTGTCGACTGCCCTGTTATACCTCGTGGAATGAGGTTTACTGGGACGGTCGACAAGGGCTTCCCTTGTCATCCGCGGAGCATCCAGACTACTGCGCTGTACTACCAAACAGCTGATCGGCACAGCGCGGCAGCCATTTTGATGTAAATGAAGCAGCGATTATTTAAATTGCTGCTTCATTTTCCTATGTCTAGAAACCTAATCTACATGGCTCCGTCGATGGAGCCATGTAGTCTAGACATACCCTATGGCTTGGCGCAATGTGACTGTCTACAATAAAGGTAACACATGTTCTTGAGGCAGACAGAACTTTCCTGGTCTGCCTGTGGAATGAATTCCCTCAGGAATGAAAGACCATCACAAACTTCACCATAGTTAGCTCCAAGTGGAAGTTGGGGTTCTTTGATCTTGCCTTCTTTCGCACAAACTTATGAGCACATTACTGAGTGAATGCATGTACACATAAAAAGCCCCTTCCCACTATACAAGATGCTAGAACAAACAATATATGATATATAAGTTTAAGTATTACTGGATGACACAGAGATACTATGCTGAGTGCATTATAAAACCTACAGAGAATAGAATAGGATTGTGTACTTGAAACAGATAATCTCCACTATCCAGAGGCTTTTGATAATTCCACATCATGAAGCAGGAAAATGGGCCAAATGGTCACCAAAGAAAATATGGGAATGGCACAATCACAAGTGCTGAGAACCTAGGTGCAGAAGAAAAACCTGTTCTTGTTGGCCATGGTAGTATTCTTTGTCCAAGACAAAAAAAATCCAGCAATGAAATAAGACACCAAAGCATGATTTACATTGTTTGATAACTCAGAATGAAGAGAGAACGAAAGGGCAGGGGAAAGACATAGTAAAACAATTCATAGTAGGACCTCATCCTATTTTGCCAAGAACTGTCTCCCATTTAACAATTTGGGAAATGGGTTAATTTTCTCCTTTTAGCCCATCTATTTGGTTGTTGCTGTGGCTGAGGATTCCATTAAAGGGGGGCATATAAGAAAACAGAAGAAGGGAACAGCCCCAAAGACAATGACATTCCTTCTCTTGCTGATATGTTAAGTCTGATCTTTCCATGAAAGTTTTGATGCCTCAAACTTTCCCAGCATTGCTAATACACTCTTGCTGTCAGAAAGAAATCTTGCACCTTGGATTGTGCTTCCTGAAAGCCAGAATGTCATGGGGCAGTGATGACAGATATTACAGTTCTCAAAGGCACATCCAATGCATCACAGGAAGCATAGCGATCCTTCATCCAATGCATCCAATGCATCACAGGAAGCATAGCGATCCTTGCTGGGAACAAACAAAATGCCCAGTGATCATTTATTGTTTGCTGACATCTTCTGCTTCCACAGGAAATAAGTTTGCAAAGGAAAAGCCCTGTCTAAAATAGCTGGAATTGACAGCAGGCTCTTTCAGGGAAGCAGCTCCATATCCCTTTATCGGTGTTTCCATAAATGGTCTATAAGGGATATTCAAGTGAAGTAGTATTGTGATGAGTGTGTAATATACTGGTAAATATAATTAAGGCTCAGTTTACACATGGATCTATGCATAATAAAACATTTGCGTGAAGCATAGTGAAGGATTATGTGAGCATGAAGTATATATGGAAATCATAAAAGTCAACCACTCGTATTTAGTTGCAATTAGTATGTACTCTGATTTACCTGAACTCTTAGTAAATAATCCACAGTGGAGATGATAATATTGACAGTTGTGTTGTTACCAGTCTGAGTTCTCAAATAATTCTGGAAATCTAAAAAGGAGAAGATAAGCTCAAGTTAACATTTACGTAAATCACAAATATTTTCAGAATTATTCATTCAAATTAATTCTGGTAAAATCCATTGGTCAAAGACTACTTTAAAGAACTGCAACATTGTTTAAGCAACCTTCCTGTTTAAATCCATATTTTAATTCAATAAACTATTTACATCTTCCTGAATGATACCATCTTAATATGGAGATAATGTAACAGTTTACAAGTTCCAATATCTAGTTTCTCCAGTGAACATAAGTCTGACTTTAATCAAATTGATACCAATTTTACACTGATGTAACTAATTTAACATCACTGGAATTTCTTCCAATTTGCATTAAATAAATGAGATCTGAATTAAGACTTATGCCATTACTGATGACAATGACATGAATATTTGATCACAATAAACTGGAATATTTTTTATAATGCCACAAATTCTATAAATAAGTGAACAAACATTAAAAATACTTTAAAAGAAATCACTAGTATTTCTTGCTTTTACATATGAAAAACTATTGTTCCTCCCTAAATGAAGATTTCCCACATGGTCCTGGAATGACATTTAAGCCCCAGAACCGCCTTCCGTGACAATCAGAACTCTAAAAATACTGTAGATGCCAATGTACAATATGTTCATTATGAAACCCTCCTTTGAGATTTCCTCTCATTTCATGATTAGGAGGTAAAACTAGAGTACACATCATTTTCTATTTAATTTACCTTTCATATAGTTCATGCTCCAGGAGTTATTTTGTGAACCAATTTTTTTATTCCAGTGTTTAAATGAATAAGGAGACTTGACATTTTAACCGCACATAAATATTTTTCTTTCATGTACAGTTCAGTTACTCAGGAACCTTTCATAATATTTCATTAAAACTTGCCAAGCCTTCAGCACTGATGAGCTTTTATCCCTGGTTACCATCACCTTGGCTCAGCTGACTGGCAGCCTGCCCACAAACCTGAACTGTGTCCTTCACAAAGCAACTGGAGGAAGCGGAAGAGGTCACAGGTGAATTCGTCATCCTGCATTACCTTTTCTCCTGTGGAAAGGCCAGATGGAGGTACAAATTATCACAGACTGTCGACTAACTTTCCACACCCCCTTATCAAATCTCCATATTTAATCTACAATTGCCAATAATAAACACACAAAATGCAATTTATAGCCACTATTCTATCTGAAGCCTGGCATGTGCCTGGCAGATAGGTGCTATTTCTCTTCCATGAGAATAGACATTTACATTTCAAGACACAGATTTCTCTGTATAAAATGTGGCAGCATGGGCTTGGCAACATTTTAGAAAAAAATCCATCATTTATCCTCTTTTGTTTTTGTTGGCATGAAGTCTGCATCGTGTACAAAAGGTTAGTACCAGATTTATTTTGTTTCAATGTGCAATAAATATCGAAAGTCTGAAAAATTAATCAAGTATTGCAGAAGGGACACCTTTTAAGTAGTTGGGTTTAAAAAAAAAAAGCAAAATAAGCCAACAACTTTATAGATATATATGTTTTCAGAAAAGACTTAACCTGGGATTTTCAAAGGAGTCTAAAAGAGTAAAGCAACCAATTCTCATTGTAAGCCAATTGCTACTAGGCACCTAATTCCCTTAGTTCTGGTTAACCAAAGTATGTGCTTATGTGCTTTTGTGAATAGGGATGATCTTCAGTGTGTCCTTCAGGGGTTTTGCTCAACTAGGCCCTATGGCCCAATTTTCCTATAGACAGCGGTTATCCAGCTGTCTAGAGCTTTAAAAAATGTCCAGGCTTACTTAAGGAAATCTGATACACTAACATGGTTTCCAGTCAAGTAATGCACAACTGTGTCAGTAGAGAGAGTCAATTTAGAAGTTTAATTTTGAAAAGGGGAAGCTTGAGGGGCTCTAGGAAAGATCAGGGATTAACAAAGAAGAACTGGAAGCTCTATAACAAATTGGCACAGTGGGAAAGCCCATTGGGAATACATAATACCAGGCAAAAAGACCCTAGGATATTAAAGACAAATTTCATTATTAGGGCGTTATACAAATATTTGGGGGGAAATGATGTCTCGGCAAAAATGGAATTTAAGCAAAATATAGAGAATTTCAATGCACAATCATTTGTTACTTGTAGATGATAGCATGATAATAAGACAAAAATGCAAGTAAAGTGAAAAAGTACAGTATATTAATTCTGAAAGTTTTCTTAACAATAGGAGGCATTTTGAACTGATACTTGAACTTCAAAATTCAATGTAATATAAGAACATTATCCTTTTCAGTTGATGAATAAAATAAATAAATGAGAGTTAAGCAAAAAATATGCAACTGATCACAGACTAGAAGTGCTTGAATTAGAGAGACAATATGTGTATGTGTGTGTGTGTGTATATGTGTAATGTATAAACACGAATATGAAAGAGTACTGTACATCAAATCAAGAATGATTACAATTACAAATAGCCAGTGGACTTACCAGACTGCAATCTGTGACTTTCAAAGTGAGAGGCTTCAGTATAATGGTAGGGTTAGGAAGCAAAACCATTTTGAAAACTAATGTGAACATTAAAAGAAGTATATAAAATCATTTCACTCTTTTCCCTGCTGGCCAGCAAGACACAATATTTGGTGATCAAACCATGTATCACCAGGTAAACATAAAAACGCAGCAAACAAAGGGAGACATAAAATGTTTTCCTCCCCCTGGTCCTTGCTGGATTCTCATTGAAATGGCAAAAAGAAAAACAATTAAGTGCTACAGATGATGTTTAACACAATTTGTCTCTGTGTCAGACATAAATACTGCACCAGATGTATTGTTTTTCAACTGAACAAGATGGTAAATCCCTACAACTAATTAAACGACAAAACAAAAAAAGACTATTTTGGCAGTTGGGATTAATACATAAAAATGAGTGCCCAGAGGGGAAGTGAGGGGAAAATCAAGAGGATCCTGTGCATATATGTAATATATTAATTAATACTACTATATATGGGTTCAATTCTGCAAGATGCTGAAATATTTTGCTGGGCTTGGAATGGTCAGCATCTTGCAATACTGAGGATTTTATTTGTATTACTCAACTGGATTCCTCGTGTTTATTATTAAGTACGTGCTTAAGTGTTTGCTGGATCATGGCCAGAGTGCTCAGAACCTTGGAAGGTCCGGCATTACATTTGCAGAATCTCAATTGCCTTTACAGAACCTGAGCCTGCAAACACATATGCAGGTAACTTCACTCATGTGAGACTTCAGTGACTTTAAGGAGATCACACATTTAAAGGAAAATTAATCATACAGAAGTGTTTGCAGGACCAAAACAACAAAGGACCTAACCACACTGTTTTGAGCATCCGAAAGTCTAACCAATTTCAGTGGCAGTTTGGCATGAACAAAGAACACAAATCAAAATTCTTATGGGAATGTTAATGAAAAAATTGCATGTATAGATTATTTTTCAGTATTCTAGTAAAATTGATCTATATAACTCTTGGGCTACATCTACATTGGCATGATCTTGTGCAAATACTCTTTAACGCAAGAGTTCTTGAGTGAAAGTATTTGCGCAAGAAAGCATCTACATTGGCATGTGCCTTTGCGCAAGAGATGTGCTTTTGTGCAAGAGCATCCGTGCCAGTGTAGACGCTCTCTTGTGCAAGAAAGCTCCGATGGCCATTTTAACCTTTGGGCTTTCTTTCACAAGAAATTCATGTTGCCTCTCTACACTGGCCTCTTGTGCAAGCACAGTTGTGCAAGCGGGCTTATTCCTGAGCGGGAGCATCATAGTTCTTGCACAAGAAGCACTGATTTCACACATTCTGCAGTGTAGACAGGCAGAATGTTTTTGCGCAAAAGCGGCCGCTTTGGTGCAAGATCGCACCAGTATAGACACAGCCTCACAGTTAAAGATTGTTTCAATATAATTTTTTAAATAGAGCAATATTTCACATATGTTTTCTGTAGGCTCCCACCCTTCTACAAATTTTTTTGCCAGGTGGATATTTTCTTTTCTTCTAAAGGAGCTTTCTTTTAATTCTACCATTTGGTTAGCTATCCACTATCACTTAGAAAAGGTGTGTGTGTTGGCGGGCAGGGAGACATACTAAAAAATAACAAGGAAAAAAAGTTCAATAGATGCAGCAAAATTAGCACCTCAACTGAGGAAAATATGTATGTATTTAAGCACATGAACAGTTCAACATGCTTTCTTGAATTAGGGCCTAGGTGATGTTGTGATGTGAATAGTAAAGTAATACAGTCACAAGAAAAAATGGTGGCGTTTTAAAACAAACTACAGCACTATTTTCTCACTTTTATTTTCTGAAGAGAAAAGTTTCTGAGAAACAATTTTCATACTAAACTTTATAACACATGGTGCTCAGTCCCTAGGCCATGAATTTGAATGGAAAAAATTCAAATTCAAATTCATGTGCCTTAGACACAGCACATACTTCAGTCCCTATTTAAGCAAAGCACTTAAAAGCATATGCTTAGCTGAAGCAATGCCTAAGGGTATGTCTACACTAGCTCGTTAGTTCGAGCTAAGTAGGCAAATGAGGGCAACCGGGGTTGCAAATGAAGCCCGGGATTTAAATATCCCGGGCTTCATTTGCATGTTCCCGGGCGCCGCCATTTTTAAATCCCCCTTAGTCCAAACTCCGTGCCCGTGGCTACATGCGGCACGGAGTAGGTAGTTCGAATTAGGATCTCTAATTCGAACTACCGATACACCTCATTCCACGATATTTAAATCCCGGGCTTCATTTGCAACCCTGTTTGCCCTCATTTGCCTACCTAGCTTGAACTAACGAGCTAGTATAAACATACCCTAAGAGTTTTGCTGGGTTGAGATCAGAGTGCTTTTAACCCTGCAATACTGAATGTTTTATGCCTGACTTAAGTGGCTGTGTGAACTGAATATTAAAAAAAATAATAAAATACATAAAAATAATACTAGATACAAGTTAGATGCTGTTAAAAATTTCAGCATCACTTTGACTATGGTGAAAGGGAAATTTGAAAGCAATTGGACTAATTGAGGAAGACTTAAAATATGTTCATTAATAGGGTCCTTTAACCTGACTGAAAGTATATTTTTATTTCCTTTCCTACCATTTCACCTTCCTTTTAATACCTCTCCACTTTTGCTTTTCTTTCTTTTTCCCTTCTCAGCTATTGGAGACATTCCGGGAAGGTGGGGAGGTCAGGAACACCATGAATTAAAATCACACTGATATTCCTGCATAATGAAATCATTTCTTGACACATCAAGTTCACTATAAGTATCAATTTTCTGTAAAAGCAATTGTAATTTGCACATTACAAAGCATTTGGCTCTTTCATTCAATGTCTCCATAAAGAGGGTTTCATAAATTCCGAGTTACTGTAAGTGGGTTTTCATTGAGATAAAGCACATTCAGAAAGACTGTCTTTTGAGGTTTTGTTATTTCAGTTTTACCCTCCTTCCTTCTGGAATATTGGATCTGATCATTCACTACACCTCACGGAAAGTGTATTTATACTAGTATAAATCATACATAAAATTCTAGCGAGTCAGAAAGATAGTGTTGTATGCCCTCTATAACAACAAACAAAGGCAGTGGTGAATCAAACCAATAGATTTTTTTCTAACCAATAATATATATAAATCTTTTTTATAATGAAAAACCCTTGGCATTACAAAATAGAACACAATCTGACTCAGAAACAAACACTGATAACATTAGCATTGTAAGAAGCTGGATTTTTCAGGATACAAAGACTATTTTATGACTACAGGGAGGTGTCTCTTTGGAGACTACAAATTACACCTGTGGAATTCAGATAGATTTTTTTGCATAATATCTAAGCAAGCCACCTTTGTTGTCATGTACACAAATTCATGCCTGCACACACAAACATTTACACATATAGTGTACTTACATATATATATATATATATATATGTGCATATAGCATGACTTGGGAGATGAGTCAACTGTTTAGGTTAGCTTCAATTTATGTAATGTATATTCTATAACACATTTGCTTAAACATGTAACTATTTAGTTAAAATGCTG